TGCCTAGTTGGGTACAAGGCTTGGAGGATAAAATGACAAGTTCAATACTTGTGACTGGCGGGAGTTGTCTCTACCCAGGTCTGGGTGAGCGCTTGGAAGCAAGAATTCGGATGATCAGGCCATGTGGAACTCCTATAAAGGTTGTCAGAGCAACAGATCCAATTATGGATGCATGGCGTGGTGCTTCGGTGTATGCTGCTGCTATGCAATTCCCACAGCAAACATTCAGTAGAACGGATTATTATGAAAAAGGTGAAGATTGGCTTCGTAGATACAAGTTCAAATACACAATCTAATCGTTCAAGTTGAAACTGATAGATTTACATAGGTTTAGTACACCCAGCGCGAGCTATGTTATTCGAAATTACGTGAACTTGCACTATGGAAGTGTTGTTCACTAGCTAATTGTTTGTTATACCTGCCATTTGACACCAAAAAAAAGAAGATATAGTTAATGATATTATATGATGGTTGTATTCAAAATTCTATTAGACTATGCCGTTAAACGTAGTTTCATTTCAACATCTAACTCACAATTCCAAAATGGATAATTCAAAAGAGGTGCTTTGCCTGTTCTGTCAGTAGAGTTTTTGCCAAGTCTCTTTTTGTTTGGCAAGTTTTCGCAAGAGTAACTCTTTTAAGAGGCTGAGGTAGCATTATTAGTTGCAACCAAACTCTTTATCTTTTCAATTTTGGAAAAGAAAAGTTTTTGTTGCAACTTGTTTGAGTTAATATCTCAGATGGAGTACTTAACTATTAATAGTACACTTAAAAAATCACTTAATTATTGATAGTTTACTTAGAAAGTCACTTTCAACTAATTAAAATTTTGTAATATACAAAAAAATAAAATTAACTGTTTTCAAAAAAATTAATAAAATACTTATTTTATTGAATTTTGTTGAAATATAATTTTGTTTTTACCTAGTTTTTTTTTTTAAAAAATTGGTACTGTGCTGCGTATTTTTTATTAGTTCTTATGAATTCCAACCTTTTTTTCTTAATCATTTCTTAACATATTTAATTCCAACTATACCATTGCTAAAAAGAAAAAGGTTTTTTCTCAGGGGTAAATTGCTACGGTACGTTTTTCAAAAAAATTTATAATTTAATAATTCAGTTTAATAAGATAATTAAAATAGCTATCTTATTATTTCTTCAAAAGAATAGTTTAAAATAAAAATTAAATTTCAATAAAATTTTATAAAAAAATTATTTAAATTGATTGAGTGACTTTCTAAGTGAAACATCAATTGTTGAGTGGCTTTTGAGTTATAAAACAAAGTTAAGTAACTTTCTAAGTGAACAACTCAAAGTTGAGTGACTTTCTAAGTGTAATGAATTTGGGAATATTTTTAAAATGTTTTTATCAACACAATCAAACAGAAGAGAGTTCTAAAATTTGTAGAAACACATATATATCACTCAACTTTGCGATTTGAAGCTTACTCTTCGTTACAAAAGTAAATCAATTATGCTCAAAACTTGCTGAATGAACTATGATATCATATATCACAATTACCTACTAGTTTCTATGATAATATTGACATTTCATATCTTGGCAAGAATCCAGTTTTCACACTAAAATGAAGCACATTATCGTGGATTTTTGTTATCTCCGCAATAACGAGAATTCAAATAGAGTGCTTCTTCCCATACCTACCTTTCTTCAATGTTTATTCAAGTTAGTTGTTATTGCACAACACAAAACTTGAGGGGGGTGTATTGAGATAAACTTATGGTTATTAGTTTGTTAGGAATATGTTTAGTTTTTTTTTTAAAATTAGTTTGAATAAGATATTTAATCGTATCTTCAAGATTATAATAAGTTGTTAGATTACTTCCTTAAAATTAGTCGAGTTAGTTACGTTCACTTGTACTTGAGCAGATGCTACGATTGAATAAAACTCATTCAAGTTTGCTTTTATTCTCAAGCTCTTTAATAACAATTGAATTGATAAATGTATATCATATTTGATTGATTTGATTTTGACCAATAACTGACCCAAATCTACCCCCAACACCTCTAATAGCACTAATTATAATGGTGAATTACAAAGTAATAAAAAACTTCTTTAAATTCTAGATGATGAACCAGTTACTATAAAAACTACGGAAACGATTCAAAAATGATTTAACATATTAGAAATAGTTCAAAATGTCCTCCTTCCACCTATTGGTTCAAATTTACCCCTCCTTTCACATATTGAACAAAAAGTGCCCCTTACCTATTGAAAATAGTTCAAATTTGTCCCTCCTTCTATCTATTAGATCAAAAATGCCCTTAGCATATTAGAAATAACTCAAAAATATTTTCTAATTATAAATATATATGTCTACAATTTTTTTACTATACTTTGCCAATTATTTAGTTTCCTTTTGATTTTTAAAGTTTTTTGTGTAAAGTACTTAGTTGTTTGTTTACATGTTTGTCTTGCGTAATAAAAATACTTGAATTAAATAAACAAAATATATAAATATATGTTTGAATTAATCCGAATAAATGTTGTTTGAAAATATTGTCTTAATCACAGAAAAAGAGAAATTTAATGTATGCCCACAAAGAATACTCCCTCCGTTCCTTTTTATATGTCATCTCTTTCTATTAATAGTTGGTCTATAATACTTGTCATTTTATAAAATCAATGCATAAATTACCATATTCTTCCTATTATACCCTTGATAGAGTAGTTAATTAGTCTTGGAAATATATATTTTGGCCATCCTAGGAAAACTAATAAGTAATTAATATTCATTGGAGTACTCCATACATTGATTAATTACTCTCTCCAATCACTATTCTATAAAATCTTAATTTGAAAAAGAAATCTCAACAAACAAATTAAAAATAAAAGATGGAGAAAAAATCTAAAATAATCTTGAAAGTTGAAGCTTTAACAATTTTTAATTTTTTTTTTAGATCAATTGGTGAAAAAAATTGGCTCCAAAAATAAACTCAAAAATTTAAATAGTCATCCAAATGCATTTTAATTTTTGAAATCTAGCATATTCATCATTTATTGATAAGTTGACTTAAGAAAACATTAAATAAGGATAGAAGAGTAAAGTTACTTAATTTCTTAATGCAAATACAATTTAAAAATGTGACATATAAAAAGGAACGAAGGGAGTAATTTTTTGTGGAGAATTTTTTTCTTTTAACATGTTTCTTAAGAAAGAGTGCAAATACAATATTACTTAACATAAATTATACAAAAATCTTAGTAGCTATAAAAGTCTTAAATTGTTACGTAATGAAAAACAAAGAAGATATATAACTAAAATGCTAATAGTAGTAAAATGGATTAAAATGTTGAGAGTTAATTTATTCAAATTTAAAGGCTAAAGGATTTTTAAAAATATTTTAATATTATAAAAATATTATATTTATAAATTCTAATAAAATATTTGAAGACTGCATGGAGTGCAGATATATTAACTAGTATTTCATAGTTGACAAACATATTTTCTTTTAGGTAGAAGGAGAGGAAATTTGAACAATTTCTAATAAGTTAAAGGATATTTTTGACTCAATAGGTGGAAAAAAGGACAAATTTGATTGTGGAAGGAGAACATTTTATTGAATCATTTTTAATATGTTACGAATATTTTTGAACATTTTTTGTAAGAACTATTATACAGAAATAGATTACATTGAAGTCCTCCAATAATAACTGTTACTTTTTCTTTCACAATTTTAGAATTTTGCAGGCATAAGATCTTGATAATAACAACTGTCTGTAGAATTTTGCAGGAAGATCTTGATAATTGTAGAATTTTGCAGGCCCGTCATCTATAGATGGTGCCCATAAAACATTAAAAAAAGTGTGGACTAATTTTCTAAACTTTTCAAGTTCTAGTCGTAACTTAGAAACTTTTGGGGCATTACAATTGCATGAAAATATTTATTTACAAAGATACACTCTACAATTATAATTTGGTGCTAATGCATGCAACAAAATCCCTGCATTATTAATACCTAGAAATTCATGACATTAGTAATACACACCTTAATACATAATAGAATTTACATTAGTTATACATTGCATAGTATACCAAATAAAGTATTTACTAATATACGGAGTTAATACATATATTATTTTACTAATATAATATAGTATCAAACAACCCCTTAGCATGTTAGTTTTGATTTTTATGCATTATATTATTTCCTTTCCTTTGGATAAACAATTATTTCAAACAAAATATAGACATAATGTGTATACCTTATTTACTTATCTACGTTAACCTTTTTTTATATTCGATTTTTACAATTATAAGAGAATATATTTTATAACTGCAAGTGTGGACCTTTTGAGCTTTGGCTAGTCATTTATAGAACCGATTTGGACATAAATTTTAAAATATTTTTGAAATGTATGTTTTTATTTTTTTGAGAAATATATGGTTTGATCATATAGATATTATCTAATTCTTGAGAGACTAGTTTTCAAATCCCAAAATCTACTTCAAATCTGTTTTTAGGCCAAGCTATATTATTGTTGTTTTTCTTAAAAAAATAATAATTAAAACTTGCCTCTAAACTTTTATATTATATGAAATAGCCCCTCTATAACTTTCTATTTATTTTGCTTGATTCGTATGAATTTACTTCAGATTTGTTTTGCTTATTTGTATAATTTTTTTCATCAAAGTCATAAATCTTTTTCAATATATGAGGTCTCTCATCACCTATTGACGGATCATCATATACCAGTTTAGCATAATTTAAAATTAGTAAGTATGTTTTTGTTTAGTATAATTGAGTATAAGTCACTTTTTACTTTTTTCCATTTCAAAAAAATAAATAAAATTGAAATGAAAATATATTCTGCCAGAAACTATAATCAACCACATCTAATTTTATAAAAAAAATTGAAAAGCTGTAGATATATTAAAGCTAGTAATTAAGGTAGAAGTAGTTTGAGGTGAGAGAAAGAGTGAAGCAACAACGGCTAGTGAGAGAAAACATAAAATAAAGGGAAGCAGCAGAAAGTAACCGTTAGGACTTGAAAAGCGCTCATAATATTTCATCAAATCCTCCTTCCTTTCTCACTAAATAAACTATCCGTTACCTTCCTTCCTTCTTTCCATCAACAACATAGAGGTTTTTTCTATACAGAATTTGAGCTTCCGCCATTGAATTGAGCTCAAGAAAAAACATGGAATCGATAACACAAAGAAGAAAGAGTGGAATTAACCTTCCATCTACAATGTCCGAAACCTCTCTTCGGCTTGATGCTTTTTCTTCTCCTCCCAGATCAAAGCGAACAACCAATTTGGCGTCATCGCCAATGTCCAACAGGTCACCTCGGACAATATCGAACCTGTCATCATCTCCGTCGTCTAAATCTGCAAGTTGCAGTGATAGATTCATTCCTTGTAGATCTTCGTCAAGGCTACACACTTTTGGTCTGGTGGAGAAGGCGTCTCCGGTGAAAGAAGGAGGAGGAAACAATGATGCATATTCCAGGTTGTTGAAATCTGAGCTTTTTGGGGCTGATTTTGGTTGTTTCTCTTCTCCTGCAGGTTCTAAAGGATGTGCTAATTCACCCATGAGTAGTCCCAGTAAGAATATGCTCAGGTTTAAAACTGAAAATTCAGGCCCTAATTCTCCGTATTCCCCTTCGGTTTTGGGGCATACAGATACTTCACTCTCCAACGAGGTTTCTACCCCTCCTAAACCCCCTAGGAAAGTGCCCAAAACACCCCACAAGGTATATATATATATATATTTAGTCACAATGGTTAAATATTCTTCGTTTAATTGCATAGTTTATGACTTTCCATTGATTGCAGGTTCTGGATGCACCATCACTTCAAGATGACTTCTATTTGAACCTAGTTGATTGGTCTTCACAGAATGTTCTTGCGGTTGGGCTCGGAACTTGTGTTTATTTATGGACAGCTTCAAATAGTAGAGTGAGTAGAAAATGCTTCTTCTTTTTGTTCTACTTAATACTCTCAACTGAATATTGCATTTCTCAATAGGTGACAAAGTTGTGCGACTTAGGACCGACTGATAGTGTCTGCTCTGTCCAATGGACTAGGGAGGGGTCTTACATATCAATTGGTACAAGTCTTGGGCAAGTTCAGGTACAGAGAGATTGTACACAAATCAATGTCAAGTTTTGTCGAGATATATATTTATTCATAGGGACTGATCAATCTCTTTCAGGTTTGGGATGGAACTCAATGCAAAAAGGTTAGAACATTTGGTGGACATCAAACAAGAACGGGAGTCCTTGCGTGGAGTTCGCGCATCCTATCTTCTGGTAGCAGAGACAGAAACATCCTTCAGCATGACGTTCGTGTTCCAAGTGACTTTGTTAGCAAATTTATCGGTCACAAGTCCGAGGTAATTTTTCACGACATACAACTTCAAATGAAACCAAAGGCATCTTCTTTTTAAGAGTCAATATTTTTTTGTCTCTCTCAATCAGGTATGTGGGTTGAAATGGTCTCATGATGATCGAGAACTTGCGTCAGGGGGAAATGACAATCAGGTATAGTTATCACACATCTAATCAACTAATTCAACAACAACAAAAGAACATTTGCTTAAGTATGTTGGTTGTGAATTGTGATCCACAGCTCTTAGTGTGGAATCAGCGATCTCAGCAACCAGTTTTGAAGCTAACGGAGCATACTGCCGCTGTTAAGGCCATTACCTGGTCTCCTCACCAATGTGGCCTTCTGGCATCAGGAGGAGGAACAGCTGATCGATGTATTCGCTTTTGGAACACAACGAATGGCAATCAGTTGAACCATATTGATACAGGAAGCCAGGTTTGTATATTGTGGGAATTACAATGCCAACTTATTTTCCGCCTAGTTTGTGGAAATTTGACAAGATTTATGCAGGTATGCAATCTAGCTTGGAGTAGAAATGTAAATGAGATAGTTAGCACACATGGGTATTCCCAAAACCAAATCATGGTGTGGAAGTATCCATCAATGTCAAAGGTAAACTAATTAAATTGTTATTCTTTATTTATTCTCTTTAGATTGTATGGTTTTGGGTATTTTAATTAAATCCCAAGTTGTGACAGGTTGCCACTCTAACTGGTCATAGTTTGCGTGTCCTATATCTTGCCATGTCACCTGATGGCCAGGTATTGCACAATATATTACATGTCTGAAAAGGAGATCGATCGATCACATTATCGTACAAAGAAAGGATCATACTTAAAAATTACAATTTAACGTGGTCTCGCAGACAATAGTGACTGGAGCAGGAGATGAGACACTCCGCTTTTGGAATGTATTTCCGTCAGTAAAAACTCCTGTAAGTCAGAATGTCCGCAAGATTTAACCCTTTCGCTGTTAGAAACATGGCATTTAGCGTCTAGTTGTTTGTTTTGTTATTTCCAGGCAGCAGTGAAGGACACAGGAGTATGGTCTTTAGGCAGGACGCACATACGTTGATGTAATTATTGTTGCTGTAAATGGAAATGGAAATCAAGGAAGACACAAATCATACAAATATATTCATACTATTCTTTTTGCATATTTGTACATGCCTGTGAAAACAATCTCCAGAAAATTGATTGTGCTGTTTTAAACACATTTTTTATTCACAAACATATTTATGCCTGCCTGTAAACAATCTCCCAAAATTGTGATGCTTTTGTTTTACCTTTTGGCCTGTTGCCTCTATCTAATTTGGTGCCACAATCACTCCAGCTGGCTATTATTTACATTGTCAATCTCCATAACTTTTGCAATATTGCTATTATACATTGATCCTTTTGGCCTGTTGCCTCTATCTAATTTGGTGCCACAATCACTCCAGCTGGCTATTATTTACATTGTCAATCTCCATAACTTTTGCAATATTGCTATTATACATTGATCCTTTTGGCCTGTTGCCTCTATCTAATTTGGTGCCACAATCACTCCAGCTGGCTATTATTTACATTGTCAATCTCCATAACTTTTGCAATATTGCTATTATACATTGATCCTTTTGGCCTGTTGCCTCTATCTAATTTGGTGCCACAATCACTCCAGCTGGCTATTATTTACATTGTCAATCTCCATAACTTTTGCAATATTGCTATTATACATTGATCCTTTTGGCCTGTTGCCTCTATCTAATTTGGTGCCACAATCACTCCAGCTGGCTATTATTTACATTGTCAATCTCCATAACTTTTGCAATATTGCTATTATACATTGATCCTTTTGGCCTGTTGCCTCTATCTAATTTGGTGCCACAATCACTCCAGCTGGCTATTATTTACATTGTCAATCTCCATAACTTTTGCAATATTGCTTATACATTGATTCAATGTAAAAATCCTGAAAATACAGAATGCGTGATTCTTATGAGATCGCAACCGACAATTCTTACAACTGAAACTTAATAAAAAAAATTGTATCCATAAACTCTTTTCCGGACTCTGCTAACATGTATGCACCAGGCTGTCCTAATCTTTACCTTAATTTACCTTTTCTCAATAAAACATTAGTAAAGGTGATAGATAATTTTATGTGACACAGTTAGAGACAAGTGTTAGGGGGTTTTAAGGTATGAAGAAGATAATTTTTGGATTGCATCAAAAGGCTATATTATCTTTTCAATTGTATTTCTCTATCTCATTTTTTGTCTATAAATTAAGATCTTAGACAACACAGAGATATTTTTGTCTCTTCTTCTTCCTTTCATTTAAAAAAAAAAAACGAAGCAAGTGTCGTGTGATTTTGTTGAGTTTGCTGGAGTTGTGTAATTCCGCGGTTATAGAAGCATTTTTTCGTTCTATTTTGGGAGAAGTAACCCAAACCTTGGCAACCATGAGAGGGTTATAATTTCTTAAGGCACACTGAATTTGTGGGAACGAGTTAATTTAAGAAATCATAACTCACTTTAATATTCTGTGTATTCCAGTAGTCAGTCACAATTCTTACCGTTTAACAGAAGCAAATGAAAAGTTCTCCTAAAAATATTGAAACACGAGTTTGGTTTGAGCCATTAGAAAGTGATTTGATTTTTTCCAAAACTGTCCATCGCCAGTTTCAAATTGCAAAAGGTTTGAAGAAATGACAAAGAAAATACATGAGTAATAAGGTCAATGTGATGTGGCATCAAGTCACATGCAAGAGAGTGATTTTCTCCCTCCTTACATATTTCTCCCCACATAATTCTAGGGTTTTACCAGCCTAAAACAGAGAATTTTCATCGCGTGATCATCAAAAGAAAGACAATTTTAGATCATAGCTAAAAAGGGCACTCCGAGTATAGGAATTTTTTTATCTTAAATTGTTGTTTTTCTTATTCATATTTTTATATTTGCTATCTTAAATTCTTAGCGTTACTACTTGATTTTCTCTTTTGATGAAAGATGTATTGTTTCTTTTCTCTTTTCTTCAATGTACAAGGCATACACCGAATTGATTTCCGTACTATATAAGAAGCATTTTGAATTTGAATATAGTTAGTTACTTGGTAAATTTGAACACTAGCATTTCAATGGGTGTTCCTCAGATTAACCGTCATCAAATTGTTGCACATGTCTGCAGATATGGCCATCAGGCAACATAACAAGATACTCTAGTTTCAAGAGCTTTAGTGCTTCTCTTCTGCGAATATGAACCGGATCAAGTACAGTACCTGTACATATCTATCTTGTGTTAGCCCAAGAAATGGATCAGTGAATTAAGAACACTAACCTGCAGGTTCAAAACTTTCTTCCGTCAGCCCTAACTAGCAAGTAGCTATCCAGCCTTGAAAATGAGTCATGTGTGTCTAGTAGGGGCTTCGTACTGTCACTGACAAGTCACCCACCAAATAATAACAATATTATCTTCTATTAAATTTAATGAAACACGTTCTCTTTATAATAGGTGAGGGTATGCAACTCGCACCAACCATAAGCTTTTTAACAGTTAAAATCACAATGAATAACATTCCTCAACTACAGTGTCACGGCTCAGCTTAGGTTATTAACATTTTATGATCTAGGTTACAAGAACAGATATGAACACAGCTCAAATCACAAGATCACTCATCTGCATTATAAAAGTGTTCATCCTTCTGTTCCTAGCCAGGACCCTCTATCGCAGTTCCCCTTCTCTGTCAAAAGTGACCCATGAATCATGATGCAGTTATTCCTGGTGGGGACTGTCCATCACAGGTTCTCCTTGCTTTCTATTCAAACCTGTCTCTGTGATGCTAATTCCACCCTATTTATATGCCACTAAAGTTGGAGATACTCTTGAGTGATTCCTCCTCCATTTCAACAAGCTGGCGGCAGAATGTTTCAACAGTGTGTGCCTCTTCTCTGAATGCAATTCTGAACTCCCTCCACTGATATTCACGAGAACCATCGCTCCTTATTGGACCTAAAACTTTTCCCAGCACATCCAATCCTTTCCGATCTATAGAAAGCAGATAAGCATCCTTCACATAAAACCAGGGATCAGTTCTCTTCTGCATATCAGCTAATAGTTTATATAGTGACTGAATGATAATGCAAATTGGTAGGCCGAGGGCAATATTTGTTGATGTTTGGTGTGGATTTATGGCTTATGTGTGTCATTATATAGTAACTACCTCGATCACAACAATGATATGCTGTGACAACTATAAGTTAGACATAAAATTTAAGGATCCCACCTTGAAAAATGAAAATAATGGCAGTAAACATGTGTAAGAATTTACCAGGTTATATATAGTCACAATGGCCCTAAATCTAGTGCAGTGGCTTAATTTATCTTGGAACTTCCAAATGAAAGTATAAGAAAATCACTTAACAGATATTTAGCATGAGAACTCAGAGAAGACAAATACATTTTACCCGAGCTTTCAGAGACAACCAGAAATCACCTTTGCGTTCTTATTCAAGTGCGTGATGCAGAAGAGAATTAGAGCCCTACGCCTCACCTCACTTTGATTAATTCCATCAATCAGGCTCATGGTATGTGATGCTACAAAATACAATACATTTAGAGAATACTGCTCATCAATAATGAGAACACATTGGTCCTCAAAATAATCAGATATGCAAACATCAACAGTTCAGTTCTAAAACTCTTACATAAAGGATCAGGTTTTGTTGCATGGACTTCCTCTAGATCTACTTCATGAGTCCCTCCATTGCTGTCAAAGTACATGTATGAACTGTGAAGTAGATAATTTTTCATTAGCAAGACATTTCTAGCCAGTTTTCAGATATATTAAATTGTCCCATCCATCTGAATTTATATCATACACTTTTTATTATTATTTTCGATAACCGTGGTATCCGGGCCAACATGCACACAACTAATTTCATGGGACAAGTTGACTCTGTCCACCAAGACTAGGACAGATGGGAAGAAATCACCTAGTGTTTTTATCTCCGCTGGGATTTGAACCTAAGACCTCATCATTCTAACCACTTCATTCACCACTAGGCCACACTCTTGAGGGCTTTTATTCTTGTTTGGATAAGCAAGAATAGCCTACTGAGGACCCTGCGCCTCCAAGCATAAGGTTATGTGTTATCACTTCTTAGTCGCCCAACGGTTTATAGTAGTAGCTATTGGCAGTTTCTCATTCCAGTATTAGTTATTTCTTCGTAGTAGTTTGCAGTTTCTCATTCTAGTAATGTTGGGAAGTCTGAACTCATATCCTAATTTCTAGGGGTAGCTATCTTATCAGTATTGTATTTAAACTCTATGTTTATCCCTTGAATTCTAAGCAGAAAATGATTACAATCTTTGAGTAATTTAACTCAAGGGATTGCATGATCTCTCATAACAAACCAACACCATAAGTCGTAGAAAGAAAACATCTTATTTCATCTTGCAGTGACCCATAACTAGATCCACATCAGGGGACCGTAAAAAATTGGTATCAGAGTCGGGAGTTACGGGAGACCAAATTCAATATCAACTGGCACAATTGGTGAACTTGTTCCAAGAAGAACATGCAGCCAATTTAGCCAAACAGGAAGCAATGAATGCTCGCTTTGATGCACTAACAAAGGATTTAGCAAATTCAAAGGTTGATTCTGAATCAACTGAACATACCAGTCAAACTCGCGGTTGGAAGGGTAAAACTGGAGTGGCACAAGGGTCAAAATCAGAAGCGGGAGGAAGTTCCATCATTCCTCGACATACAAAGTTGGATTTCCCACGATTTAAAAGTCGGAGGACCCTTTGGAATGGTTGAACATATGTGAACGCTTCTTTCGACACCAACAAACTCCAGAAGAAGAAAAGGTTGGACTTGCTCCTTTTCATTTGGAGGGAAATGCACAACTTTGGTTTCTTCAACAAGAGATAGATATGCCTCAACCTTCTTAGGATGAATTCAAACATCATTGTAGCCTTCGTTTTGGGCCACCAATCACAAGTTGGAAAGATTAGCTAAGTTACACCACATCAGGTCTATGGCAAATTACCAAGAAAAGTCTAAGCAGTTAGTTTCGCGGGCTGGTACACTCGCACAATCACAAAAAATTGAACTTTATATCAATGATCTTGCTGATTAATATAGCAATTGAGGTTGAGTTGCCTAATCTCTAGATTTGGCTACGGTGATGAGTTTATCTCAGCTTTATGAACTCAAGGAACAACTCATTTGTTCGCAATTGTTAGATAATTGCTGATCAAAGACATCAGGTTTCTCACCTCAACATATCAAATTTGTGAAGAAATTGACCAGATCTAAAATGGAGGAAAAGCGACAAAGGATTTTGTTTAAACTGTGATGAAATGTGAACCCAAGGTCATCAATGCGAGAAATCATTTTGGATCGACTCTACAGACAATGAGGTAGAATTTGCTAAAACAAAGGAAAATACAAATACTTTCCACACTTAGCGCTTGAGGAGAAACAGCGGTTTGAAGGAAGGGAGTAATGTTATCACTCAAATCTCCCAACTATTTACAGCAGTAATTATTTCCAGTAGTTACTTCTTTGTAGTAGTTATTTGCAGTTTCTCATTCCAGTAGTAGTTATTTCTTTGTAGTAATTTGCAGTTTCTCGTTCTAGTAATGTAAGGAAGCCATGTCCTAGTTTCTAGGGCAGTTATCTTATCAGTATTGTATTAAACTCTATGTTTATCCTATGAAATCCAAGTAAAAAATCATTTTAGTTTTTGAGTACTTTAAATCAAGAAATTGTAGGTTCTCTATGACGAACCAACAACATAGGTCATACGGAAAAAACATCTAATTTCATCTTGCAGCGTCCCATAACTACATCCATATTGTTAAATT